GCTGCGGCCTCCAGGGCTCCCGGAGACGGGCCGGGGGCCGGAGGGCAGGGGGCGGCCCGGGCGCCGGGGGACGGCCGGGCAGGGAGCCCCGGCAGAGGCACACAGCAAACGCGCGAGAGCGGGACCGCACCAACAGCGTGAACACCGCCTTCACGGCTCTTCGTACGCTCATCCCCACCGAGCCGGCTGACCGCAAGCTCTCCAAGATCGAGACGCTGCGTCTGGCCTCCAGCTACATCTCGCACCTGGGCAATGTGCTGCTGGTGGGCGAGGCCTGCGGCGACGGGCAGCCTTGCCACTCCGGGCCCGCCTTCTTTCATGCAGCGCGGGCTGGCAGCCCCCCGCCGCCCCTGCCGCCCCCCGCCCGCGACGCAGAGAATGCCCAGCCTAAGCAGATCTGCACCTTCTGCCTCAGCAACCAGAGGAAGTTGGTGAGTGTGGACGCGGGTCATCCACGGACAGGGACCTGAGGAGGATGTGGCACCCCTACCTCCAAGTCATCCCAACAGCCCACACCTGCTGGGCAGAGGCAGGGCCAAGGAACAACCCCCTAGCAGCACCTGTAATCCAAGGGCGAGAGTCCCAGGGAGGGAGGACAAGGCTGGAGCTGGCAGGGCTGGGCCTTCTCCTATGAGTCCTCAGAATACAGGTTCTATGGGGACCAGGGAAGCCCACCCAGACCAGGTGGGGGCCTGAGTGGCAAGCAGGCTAGACACCAACCTGGAACAAGCTGGGGGGCCAGACAACGGTTGGTTCAAGCAACTCTAGCACCCACTGCCTCCAGGATGGGGATTCATGTAAAGTCCCTCCAGGCCAGTATGCCAGACTATAGTCCCTGCCACTGGCCTAAGGTTTATTGGTCACCTGCCATCCTTCCCCTGGCCCCAGCTTGGCCCCAGGGCTGCCCACTCAGATGTGGCCGTGGGTCTGAAGGCAGGAGGCTGGCAGGAGACTTGGGAGCTGGGAGTGAGGGCCATGCTGTGGGACGCTGGACGCTGTGATTTACAGCTCCTGCTGTGCTTGGTGGCACCGGAAAAGCAGGGTGAGCATGGAGAAAATACGGCTCGGCTTTTCCCAATCCCCATTTCCTCTCCAGACAGCACGCGCGAGCTCCTGGGGCCTGAACATCTGGGAAATTTAATTTTACAATTCCGGCTGCGCAGCAGTGTGTATTCTCCTCCCCAAGTGCATGGGGAAGCGGGGTGAGCTCGAAAGGGGGTACTTCCCTTGCCTGCCACCTGAGACGGCATGGGGGAGCCCAGAGGCACGGGCTGGCACTGGGTCTCTGCCCAGATCCTGACATTGCCCTCCCCTCTGCAGAGCAAGGACCGTGACAGAAAGACGGCGATTCGGAGTTAGAGGCTGATGCCACTGGGCGATCCACGGAAAGCCCCCATGGACCTGACTCGGGCACAGGCCTCCCATGAGGGCACCCACCAGGCCTGCTCCGCCTCTGGCTACAAGTGGGGCCGATGGACAGGCAGGCGGCAAAAGGACTCTGAGCTTGCCGCAGTACTTGCCCAGGTCCACTGGAACTTTTCACGCTGGCTTCCCACCTGGGTTTTCTTCTGGTCACTACATGCTGGCATCTTGGGTCTTTGATATGATAATATAAAGTCTGGGGATTTTGTATAATTAAAAACAAAACAGTATCTTCCAAAAGTGGAAGCACACTGTCCTCTCAAAGCGTCCAGTATCCATCCTGAGCCCACTGCCCACCCGATATGGGCTGTCTCTTTCCAGCCCTGTCCTCCCTGGGCTGGAGGCACCCCAGTCCTCAGGGAAGATCCCCACCTTCCAGGCCTCAGGGTTGTCCTTCCCAGACCCAAGGCAGAGTGAGGCACCTCCTGCCAGGGAACTGTGGCCTGGGGGACAAAAGGGAGAGGAGGGCAGGGCTGATGGGATGCAGCCAGCCCTGGGGCTCCCACTCTCAGGACCTGCATGGTGCCCAGGGCTCCATGCCGGACCTCAGGGCCTTGGCACTTCAGCCTATGACCATGGAGCCCCAATAAATGGATGTGTAGGGAAGCTGAGCGAAGGGCATTGCCTGGAAGAGTGGCTTCCAGGCCTGGGCGGCCTGAAGGCATGGGCCAGGAGGCAGCTGCCTGCATGCACCTCACCCCCGCCCAGCCCTGCACTTGGCCCCTTGCAGCACTGTCCACACTGGGAGGACTTCTAGCCATCTACCAGCACGTCCACCCAACTCCTCCAAAAGTCCTATCTGCCAATGAGGAGGGCAATTCAGGCCCCTTCCCTGAGTTGTGCACAGCTGGCTCACCATTAAAATCCTGCAGGTGACAATTATAGTTCAGCAGCTGTGAGCTCCAGGGGCACAGCAGAGAAGAAAGGCCCTATGTCGGCCACCTCCCCCACCAACCCAGGCAGGCAACCAGCCCGACTTCTGGCCAGTGTGGGGAATGGCCAAAAGAGCCAGGTGCCAGCCCCAGGACCTCTCAACCCTCAGTGCAGGCTCAGGGCCCCCACTGAAATGCCCCCTTTGGCCACAGGGGAGCGGCCAGGTGTTGAGGCCCAGGTGGGCACCCCAGGAGGGCAGGGCCAGAGCTGCCCCTCCTCTGCATGGATGGGCACCAGGGAACTGTGAATCAGGAAGTGGTGGTGTAATTTTGGAGGAAATTCTCAAAGCCAGAGCCATTAAGGCCTAGAGAGGGGCTGTGTCCAATATGATAGAAATAGAACAGGATAAAAAGTCATAGTGGCAGGTCCCATTCAGAGAAACCCAACCCCAAATTTCCTCTCCTTAATCCTGAAGGAGCCTACAGCTGGCCCACGGAGGGGAGGAGAGGGTGAGCTCCGTCAGAAGCCCCCCCACCTCCACCCGCCTGCTTGGGAGCCAGGACCACCAGGGACTGAAAAAGACATCCCTTCCCCTATCAGGACCCCAGGACATTTCAAGAGCATGCCCTGGGGCAGAAGTTTTGGCAGGCAGCTACCCTGGGGTATCCGAGGCACCTCCTTGCTGCACTGGGCACCATGCAGGCTGTAGAGAGGCTCCACGGCCCACTGGCCTCACATTTCCAAACCTGGGCCTGAGCTGGGGGTGCAAACCTCCTTCATGAACCACCTCCAAGATGATGGGTAACCAGTGGGCACTCACCTCACAGTCTCAAAGTGGCCACAGGGGAAAGGGAAGCACACAAAGTAAAGCCAGAGAAAAGAAATACAAAGGGAGGGATACCTGGAGCAGGAGGATAGACAGGGAGGCTGGAGAGGAGCAGGCGTCAGGGACAGGGACACTAGCCTGGGGCAGGGTGCAGGGGGAGGATGTGTGGAGGTGGAAAGTCAGTGGGAAGACAGGCTTCTGGGATGGTCCCCAGGGCCCAGCTGGTCCAGTGGTGCATGCGGGCCAAGCCCTCTACTGCCGCGCCTGTGACTCTAACAGCGACTCCCAACAGCGGCTGCAGCTTGGCCGGCCTCAGGCCTGGGCAGTGGGCCCGGCTGCTCCCTGAGCTGCACCAGTAGCAGCGGCGGTGGCGGCAGCGAGGGCCTGGACCGCCAGCCAGCAGGGGAGGGGAGGGGGTGGGGAGGAGCACTCCGTCACCCTCCACTGCTCCAGAAATTCAAACCAGACTGGGGGTGGCTGGGGCGGCCCCACGCAAGTCCACTCGGCAGCCGCTGGGCTGCTGGGCTGGGGTGGCAGGTGCTCCCCGCCCACCACAGCCCTGCTTCCTTCCCTCTACCACGCCTGGCCCAGGGACAAAGACCCAGGGCTTTCAGTGTGTGTGCCCCACAGGCATCTGGAAAGGAGGGGCCAGCCCACACTGGGGCCAGCAGCCGCCTCTGTAGGCCAAGCTGGGCTGGAAACACTCCGATCGGCCTCGGCTGTCAGCTCCCTGTCCCTGGCCTGGGGAACGAGCTGCTGGCGGCACCACATGATTCATCACCAGGCTGCCTGGGCCCACAGGCCAGCCGGCCCCCACCCTGCTCAGCACCTGTGGCTGCCAGGAAGCACATGTGACCTCGAAGGGTGAGCACCGCCAACCCCTCCAGGTCAGGCACTGTGCTGGGAGCCCAGGCTGAGAGCACAGACAGTCTGGGCCCAGCTCTCCAGGGGCTGCTCTGCCCCAGGACCAGTATGTGGGACACACTGGTGGGGTCCCCACCCCATCTTCACCGGACAGGGCAGCCACTGGCTGTGCGGCTACGACGGTTCCGCTCTATGAGCCCGCCCCTCCCCCTCCCCAAAGTGGCTGCAGCTGTCAGGACCGCAGATTGGAACTGCAGGTACAGCCTGGCCCGCTGCCACCTCCCTCCCTGTCTGTCTGCGAGGGAGGAAGCCAGCCCACCTCTGGAATCCTTCACTCGCTCCTCGTTCCCTCTCCACCTGTCCCCCGGGAGCCCGGGGTCAGCCGCCCTCGCTCCGGCTCGCTCTTTTCCCTTGCCCCTCTCCGATTACAATGCCGGCAGTGTTCGCTCAGCTCCCCTACACGAAGCTCCCGCCTGTCTTGGAGCAAGCCTCAGCCTTCCTGCATCTCTGTCCTTCCCAGCTCCTCCGAGGTGTCTAATCTCTGTCAGTGCCCCAGCTCACCTGCTGCAGCTGAACCCACAGAAGGTTCTAGCAGATGAGTCCTGGTTGTTAGACCAAAGAGGAGAAAGCCAGGTCCTGCTCCAAAGGCCAAAGCCAGCTGAGGGGACCCCAGCAGTGGGAGGGCCAGAAGGAGACCGAGCCCACTGGATGTATGTAATCAGCCAGGTCCAGTGCGTCAGGCAGGGAATTCAGAGTGCTCTTCCCTGGCCTCCTCCATCAGACTGCCCCATTATTTTTGGACTCAGGTAGCAGGGCAACTCTTTGAGACCAGCCCAGACACCCCAAATTCCATCTGTCCATCCCTCACAAAAGCCATGCTGGCTGGTCCTGCACCTGAACTGTCAGACACTTGTAGGCACAGGGCCCATCCAAGCTCACTGCACAGCCCCTACCAGCACCTGCCTGGCTGTTAGGGAAGCAAGTCTGCCCCCATGGGGTCCACAGGATGGGGAGAAGGCACAGAGACCACCTCTATTCCCAGGTCCTCAGACACCTGAGACCCAAACCACTTGTCCCTCTTGTGGGGCTGACCAGGGTGCAGTGCATGTTCCCAGGTGGGTGCAGGCTTGGGGCCCCTTACTGCGTGGCAAAGGCCTGTTCTAAGCCACACTATTCAGAGACAGAGCTCAAATTGGGCCTGGTCCTGGGAACTGTACACCAGCCCTCACCTCCTTCCCTCACCCTCAGCCACCCAGAGCTGCTCCAGCATCCCTGCCCAACCTTCCCCACAGAGCTTGCCTCCCAGCACCACACCTCCAGCCCAAGGGCAAACACTCCTCTCACAGGAGGCCCCTTCCCAGCATCCTCCCACCACGGAAAGTGGCTCCCAGCAGGGATGTGGCAGGCTGGGGCTCTGAAGCCCACCTTCACCTGCCAGCTGCTGCCAGCCCCCCCAGGCCCCAAGACCCTGCTGGATCCCAGAATGCTCACTGTATACCTCCTAAGGGGCAAGGACATCCACCCCTGCTCCCTTCTCACTCACCCCTATCCTACCCTGCCCCCCACCCCAGGGAATCTTCTCTTCAACCAGAGTGGCAACTGGGAAGCACCAGCCAACACAGAGCAGGGGCCCCACCCAAGCACCCTGGCCTCGCTCAAAGCTGAGGCCAGGCAAAGGTACCAGGGGGCACCCTATGGTCACAACCATTACGCCCACGTAGCCCTCCCTCCACCTACAAGGCTGTGGGTCAGCAGTGCAGGCCAGTAGCCCTCCCAGGAGAGGCAGAGACCAGACCCAGGTCCTGGCCAGTGGCCCCATTCGGAGGCTGGCTGTAGGGGTGGAAGGCCGCCAGGGAGGCTGGGGCGTGGGGCGGTCGGTCTGCGAGGCTGAGACACTAGCAGGCTCAGCGCCCGCCGGGCGTCCCACAAACAGCTCAGAAACCTGAGCCGACAGGCTCTGGCTGCCAGCAACGACGCAAGCGCTCTGAGTGCACGCAGCCAGGCGGGGTGGGCGCCCTGGGAGGAGCAGGAGGCCGCCAGCACTGGAGGCAGCTGCCGGTTCAGTAGCTCAGAGAAGCCATTAACGGCGTTTGGCGAGAGAGCAGAGGGGATCGTGGGTTCTGGATGCAGACAGGCCCAGCTGTCCCTGAGGGATCCGGGTTACCTCGAAGCCAAGGGGGGCCAAAGAGCCGGTCAGTGCTACAGCCTACAAGAGGGTGTGGGCCCAGGGTCCTCCCATACTCTTTGGCCAGAGTTCACAGCGGCCCTGAACCCCTCGCCTTAGACACACAACCACAGGCCTGCAGGGAGGCTCCTCCTCCACCCATTGTGGTCCTCAGTTTCTCCAGCTGCTTGAAACAAAAAAGATGGGCAGCTGCGGTAAAGGCCGCCAGCCCCCTCCCCAGCCCTCTCCCCCGCCTCCTAGGTCTTGGCGGCTGGATGAGATCACGTCTGTGGGGGGGGGGTGCCCTGGAGAGGGGTGAGGTGGACATGTGGGGGCAGGGCGGAGGAAGCTCACAGGCTCCTCCCACAAGGCCAGGACCCTGCCAAGAGCAGCAGCACATCAGGGGCTTTGCCCAGAGCAGGCTGGGACGTGAGCCTGGGGAAAAGGATAGGGGGTGCGAGCACTAGGCAGGGCTCAGGCCTCCCAGGAAGGTGGAGGGCACCACACCAGAAGTGTCCCGGTGGAGGGTCCTCAAAGCTAGGCCCAGCAGGGGCCACAGCCAGAGGGCCCAGAAGCCCAGGCGTCCCTCAGCCCCCCAGCCCAGGGCTCAGATCTAGACCCAGGGAGTGGGTAGGGCAGGCCCAAGGGACAGGCATGGAGGTCCTCTCTCCCAGGAGCACACACCCATCAGGACCCCTGCTCACTGCTGAGTGGGACCCTGGCACTACTGCCTATCTCCAAAGACACTGCTGGGAGCAGAAACTGCCCTGACTCGAGTGGTGTTCACAGATCCTAGCCTCGCAGGCACCAACCAACCAGGCACAGCCACAGGGAGTGCCAGGCTCTGCACCCCAACCCTCGCAGTCACCATACCACATGTGCTCCAGCCTCCTTGGCCTCTTCCACAAAGCCCACTGAACTTTGCTCAGATGCTAGAGACACAGCCACAACCTCAGGGTGGGAGACATGGGCCCAGCAAGCACCCAAGGGGCACACATTTCTGGATGGGGGCATCTGCCAGGGCTCCTGAAAGCTGGGCTCTGCCGCCCCCTCCAGTCACCACTGGAAGCAGAGGGGCGGGCAGCACAGCGGCTCCCTTCTGTCACTCAGCCGACATATGGGATACTCATCTCGAGGAAGCGCCCACAGCCCCCGCAGTGACTCCGGGACAGGAGCACCCCCTCCCCCAGGTGGAAGGCCCCTCCCCCAGCCTGCACTCCATTTACAATCATCATCGATTTCTCAAAATACCAAATATAAAAAAGTAGCCGACAGGATGTGGCTGCCGACAGCCAGAGCCCTTGGGAGGGGGAGACAGGCAGGGAGCCGTACTGCACAGCCCCCCTTCACCGAGTGCGCCCGCTGCTCCGGCCAGGAAACCAATTTATTTTGTTTTGTCTCTGTTCTCTGAACGCACAGAGACCGGATCGGGCGAACAGCCAAGGCTCCTGCAGCCGCTGCCAGCAGAGCCTAGGATGGGGGTGGAAGCAAGTGGGGGGGCCGCCCTCCCCAGGCCCGGCTGCCCTGACAGAAGGCAGGAAGCACTCCTGAGGCCAAGGACGCGGTCCCTCAGCCTCTAGGCCACACCTGACTCAGAGACACCAGGGAGGGGACAGGTGGCCAAGTACCACAGCCACCTTGGGGCTCAGAGCTCTTCAGCTCTCAGCCCTCCCGAATCAGCAGGCAACTGAGATATAGCCTCCACCCACCCACCCATCAGGACCTCTGGACCCCAGACTGAGCACCCCTGGGCCAACATCACACTGTCCCTGCTTTCCCCTTCAAACCACGAACATGAGGGAGACAACCAGATTCAGGGGCCTCGATTGGCCTATGCCTCGAAGAAACTGGACAGGTAAGGGGCAGAGCACCCGGGCTGTTGGGTCTTCTGCAGGAAGCTGACAGTGCTGCTGTCTCCCGTGCCCAGCAGGGATGGCATCCAGGTCTGTCACAAGGCTGGCTGGTGTGGGGAAAGCCCACCCAGAGTGTGAGCACAGCCTCCACAGAGTACATGGGGATCCCAGGATGCCAGCCCCCCATAGGGCCAAGACGTGGGCATGGGCTACTGCACCACAACCCTAAGCCTTCCCTGGCGATAACACACACACTCCTGCAGTCATGATTCTCAGACCCCAAAATCACTCTTCCAGACCAGGAGTGGAGCCCAGGGCCAGGACACCCATTCAGGCCCCACCAAGGGCTTTCTCCCCTCTGCCCCAGGCAGAGCCCACCCTACCTCCTCGTCAGAACTGTCTTCTGCGTACTCATCGCTGCCCCGTGCTCTCGCCGCCTCCATCCCTGGGGGGGAGGACGGGGTCCTGACAGCCTGTGGAGGACAGAGAAAGTGCTTAAGTCAAGACACCAGAGCCCTCTGACTGGGTAGATCCCAGGCCTCTCCTGGTTGGGGGGGCAAGAAGGACAAACTGTCCCTCCTCCTGACTAAGGCCAAGGTTCCCACCGCTCCAATCTCTGAGAAGTTCCAAATTGGCCCCAGGCCTCAGGACAACACTAGGGATACCCAGGTCTAAGTGGGTCTCTCAGGGAGAGGGGTGGGCCCAGCCCCAGCCCAGGTCCTCTGTCAAGGGCCAAACCCATCACGATATCCAAGCTCCAGAAGAGGACCACCCCAGGGAGCGGACGACAGCTGGTGACAGACTGGAAAAGGGGCAGTGAGCAACAAGCCACAAGCCGTCCTATGCCCCTTAACAAGAAAAGTGGCTGCAGGGATCCTGGCCCAACAACCCCACAACCAGCCCCGCCTGGCCCACTGCCAGCCTGGGGGACAAAGTGAGAGCTGGGGAGTCCCACCTGAGGAAAGTGTGTGGCATTCACTGCCAGCCACCTTCACAGCTGGTCCACTACTAGGGCAAGACCCTCGCCCTGAGGCCTAGCTGAAAGTCACATCTAGCCCAGCAAGCCAAGAGGAACCCGGATGCTCAGAATGCTGGGGACTCGGCCCCCAGGAACCTCACCCCACCCACCACATCCCTGGCCCCAGGCTGACCCCATCCACCAGGTCAGTGAGTGGGTGTCGCTGAGCATTCACACCTCAACCTGGAAAACAGATTCCAGTCACAGGGTGGGGGGATCGGGTGCACCGGAACCAGGGTGATGGGGAAAACAGCCCACTACTCACCCCTGGGGGCAGTAAAGTGCTCAGGAGCAGAAACCCCTAAGCACAGTACCGCCAACCAGCCCAGAGCCCACTCCCCTGCCCCCGCCCCCACCCGGGCAGGAGCCAAAGGCCTGCGAGGCAGCTCTTCCTCTTGCCTGTTTTTCCCCTCAGTGTGAGGAAGGTGGAAGACTAAGTTTTTTTCCAGGCCAGGAACAAGGCAGGATTTGGTTTGCATGTCTCCCCTGCCCCTGCTCCCAGTACTGCGGGTCAGCAAGGCCTGGAGCCTGGGTGCGGAAAACAGAGGGCAAGCACCAAGCTCCTGCCTCTGCCCAGGGCCCAAAGCTCTCTGCCGTCCTTGCCCACAAAGCCACCAGCAGGCACACATGCTCCAGGTCCTGGGCCAGCCTGTCTGTGAATCTCAACAAGCACCCTATGAGCCACTGCTCATGGCTGCCCACAGTGCCATCCTGCCCGATGCTCCTCCAGGTGCCAAACCCCCGTGTCCCACACCATCTGTACCACAGGTGTGGTCAGGGGATGTTGGCAGGAGACAACAGACACTTCCCCTGTACTGCATGCAGCACAGTGAATCCCACAACACTCAGTTGCACAGCCCTCCTGGGGCATCACATCCTCCTCCAAACCTGACGCTGCAGGGCAGCCGGCAGCCGCCAGGGGGCAGTGCATTTAAAAAACATTTATAGTTAAGAAACAAGACCACTAAGGAATAAAACAGAAAAGGGTGCCAGCTCAGAAATGAAGGTCCCTGCTCACCACCGCATCCCGGCTGCCAGCATCCAAAACCCTGGTTCCTCAGGCACACACACAGAGTGGTGGGGGTGCCAAATCTACATGGCCCAAGATGGGTTCAAGCACTACCTGGCACTGCCCCCCTGAACCTGCCCATGTGGGCTGCTCAGGGGCCACAGGCAGGCCCCAAGGGAAGCGGGGTTCTGTAGGCAATTGCCCCAACCCAGGGACTGAGGAGGGGCTGTGGGTGGAGCAGCCCAATATGGTGGAGTCCCCACGCACCACTCCCAGGGTCTACAGTGAGCTCTGTACAGACAGCACAGGCAGGACTCCTTAAATTATCTGGACAATACTACACATTGGGCTAAAATATTACTAGGTCTCTTGATTGTGGCATGGAAACTAATGAAAATGGGAACTTTTTCACAAAAGATTAAGAAAACAAAATAGAAAAAGACCCCATATAAACAGAAAGAACCAAACCCAACACAACAAGTAGAAGTGGATCTAAACGAGCAGAAAAGGGAAGAAATGGCTTTAGGCACAAGTCCACTCAACATGTGGAACCAAGAGCAGGCACAAGGGCACCATGGCATCTCTGCTGTGAGATAGGAAAGGCCTGCTGAACACCACAGTGCTGTTGGGGGGTCTGGGGGGAAGCCCTGGGGGGGAGGAGT